TGAGTGTGGTTTTGATTTGTATTTCCCTGATGAGGAGCGACGTTGAGCATCTTTTCATGTGCCTGTTGGCCATCGGGATGTCTTCTTTAGAGAAGTGTCTATTCATGTTTTCTGCCCATTTCTTCACTGGATTATTTGGTTTTCAGGTGTGGAGTTTGGTGAGTTCTTTATAGATTTTGGATACCAGCACTTTACCAGTGGTTTTAAATAATCCGATGCCTTTGTCCTCCTTCTCTCTGGTAGCAAGGGACACTGATTGTCTTTTGTATTCGACACCAGGGAATTGGCCTGTCTCCTAAACAGTTCCATATGGAGCCTTCATGTCCTTAAATACTGGCCACATCACCCCTACTTTGGAACCTGCCATACTCAGGCAGGTTTAAAATAAATTGTGTGCAGTTTAAAATAAATTTCCTTTGACCTTGGGCAAGTTGCTTAGGGTCTTTGAATCTCCATCACCTCTTCTCTAAAATAAGCAATGCCAGGCTCATTGGTTTGTTGTGAGGTGATCTCAGAAGCTGTTTAGAAAAGCTGTGGCACAGAGCCTGGCACATAACAGTGCTAGTCTGTCCCAGCCTGGCATTCCTGAGTTCTTCAGCACAGCACCCTCCCTGTAAAATCCAGGTTGGATGACATGTGCCTGCTTCCAGGATAGGGATGGAAAATTGCAGTTCATGTTACTGAATAATAAGCTGTCCCACTTTCCATCCTCCCATTGTATCCCCCTCTATTGCCATGAGAATGAGAAGTTAATTGCTATGTTCCAATTCCCTGGATTTAAATAAAGTTCCTCCTTACCTGCCTGTGAGTGTCTTAGGGGGAAATAAATGAGGAAATACATTGAAAGCACTTAAAACCGTGCTTGGTGCCTGAGTGTTTAATCAATGTTCTCTATTATTTTTTTTATTTCCTTTTTTTATTTTAGAGAGAGAGTGAGTGGGGGAGAGGGGCAGAGGGAGAGAGAGAGTATCCTAAGCAGGCTCAGCAGGACCCCGTTGCAGGGCTTGATCCCACAATCCTGAGATCATGACTTGAGCTGAAATCAAGAGTTGGATGCTCAACCGACTGAGCTGCCCAGGTGCCCCTCTATTATTATTAGGTGTAACTGAATCATATCCTCCTCTTCTATGACAGACTGGCCTAAGTAGGGCCGTACTTCTTAGGGGAAGACAATTGCTGGGCTTAACTGCATCTTAAAATGGTCTCTCTGCATATCTGGATGATTCTGTTTGTTGGTTACAGGGCCCAGACTCAGAAGAGGCTAAGAAAAAAATAGATTCTTTTAGGGTCTGGAAGAATAGTCCTACTTTTCTCCTTTTGGATCCCCAGGCCAAACTGTCCCCAAGTCCTATTGATTTTTCTTTTGTCATTCCACTTTCATATTGCCATCAGCCTAGATTTGCCCATCAGTGTCTCTTGCCTGATTTCAGGCGAATTCTCATAATTGCCTTTTGCACATGACTGCCAGGTTCATATATCTTAAATTAGTGCTTTCATGATATCATAATCCTGCTCAAATGCCAGCAGTTTGCCTCCTGTTTTTTTTTCTAGATAAAGTTTAAACAAGTGCTTTACAGTGGAAGTACTGTGCAATGTGTGTATAGAGTTTTAAATTTGCTAGTAGTCCTATTAAAAAGCATGAAAAGAAATGTGAAATTACTTTCAATAATATATTTTATATAACCCAAAATATCCAAAACAATATCATTTCAATATGTAATAATATAAAAAATTAGTGACGAGATAGTCTACATTTTTTTAGGTTTATTTTTTTATTTTAGAGAGGGAGCCAGCGTGAGCAAGGAAGGGGGGCAGAGGGGGAGAGAGAGAGAGAGACAGGGAGGGAGGGAGGGAGGGAGAGGGAGAGAGAGAGATCTCAAGCAGGCTCCACGCTTAGCATGAAGCCCGACTCAGGGCTGGATCCCACAACCATGAGATCCTGACCTGACCTGAGCTGGAACCAAGAGTTGACACTCAACTGACTGAGCCACCCAGCCACCCCAGTCTACATTTTTAAATATACTTAGTGCACATCTCAATTCAGGTACTAAATATCCATTGAAAATACTTGATCTCGGGGCGCCTGTGTGGCTCAGTCAGTTGAGCGTCCGACTTCGACTCAGGTCATGATCTCACGCCCTGTGAGTTCGAGCCCCGCATCAGGCTCTGTGCTGACAGCTCAGAGCCTGGAGCCTGCTTCGGATTCTGTGTCTTCCTCTCTCTCTGCCCCTCCCCTGTTCATGCTCTGTCTCTCTCTGTCAAAAATAAATAAACATTAAAAAAAAAAGAAAATACTTGATCTCTTCAGATTTCATGAAATTTACATTTGAAAATTTATTTGAAACCTACCTGACCTATTTGAAATGTAATTAAAAATATTCCTGTGACTGAAGCATATATCCATTTTTAAATTTAAGTTAAACTAAGTTAAAAACCTAGTTCATCAGCCATATTTCAAGTCTGCAGTGGCCACATGGGGCTACTGTGCTGGATGGTCCAGGTGTAAACTCATGAGCCTGGCATTCAGGTGTTCCAGCCTCATCTCCCCACTGTGGTTACTGGGTCTCTTGATTATAAGGGTCAGAGAGAACAGTTCAGTCTGTCAGATGATGCTTTGGGTGGTTGGAGGAGTTAATAAGAATGTATGTGGACTAGAGCTGGAAAGCAATCAGGACTTAAGACAGATCCAGGGACCAGCCCCACTCCCGTGACCCGTTCTCTCACCTTCAGCTGACTTAACAGGAGAAGTTGAATAGCCAAATCTGGTAGCTTTTCTCAGAGGCAGTATAGCTAGTGGGCATTGTGCCATTTTTGTGGCCTGACAGGAAGTGAGGTTGTTCATGCCTGGAGAGTTCTAAGGAGGCAGTGCTGAAGCCCCAAGACCAAGGGCAGTGGCTTCTTGGAACAACAGCCTTTTCTGGTTAAGCAGCATGAGCACTGTATTTTGATCACTATCAACTTCAACTGCAAAACCCTATTGCCTTCTAGCTTGCCTCCAGATCCCCACTATTGGAGTCATTAAGAGGTACATGTGTTTTGTGTAGTGGCATCCATGATCACTGTAGCTTGAATTTCCTCTTCATTTCAGCTGCTGGCCTGTAAGGCACTGAGGAATGAGATCTGGGAAGGACTAGTTTTGATGGGAAAAAGTTCTTGATGGAACATTGTAAGGGAACTGGAACCAACATGTCAGTAGTGAGGAGAGAGACAGCATGGGGCTTAAGTAGAGGGGCGAAGCCCATCCTTGTGGGGTTGTCTAGGGCCAGTTCTCTATTAAAGCGGCCCTTCCCCATTGAGCCAGATCCAAAAAAAACCCTTTTGCCTGGTGAAGGAAGTTAGCTTGTTTATTAACACAGCATAAGCTTGCAGGTGTCATCGGACTATGTCCTGACTGTGGTATCCAAGTTGATGACATAAAAGCATTTTTTCCTAACAAGGTGAAGCCATTGCACGCATTAGACATTCAGAATGAAGAGATTCAGCTTTGGATGCCTAGATTTTGCCACTTGGAAACCGCGTGACTCTAGGCAAATGCCATTGCTTCTCAGACTTTAATGTGCGTACAAGTCACCTGGGATCTCATTAAAAATCAACATCTGGGGGATGGGGGCGCCTGGGTGGCCCAGTCGGTTAGGCATCCAGCTTCACCTCAGGTCATGATCTCACGGTTCCTGAGTTCGAGCTCCGCATCAGGCTTTCTGCTGTCAGCACAGAACCCACTTTGGATTCTCTATCTCCCTCTCTTCTGCCCTCATCTGCTCATATTCTCTCTCTCTCTCTCTCTCTCAAAAATAAACATTAAAAAAAATCATCTGATTTAGCAGATCTGGGGGAGGGCTTGAGATGTTGCATTTTCAACAAGCTCCCAGGTGATGCCAAGTAGCTAGGACTTAACCTCTCTGTGCCTCAGTGGCCTCAACTATGAAACTTCAGCTGTGAAGTAGGAGATAAATGGTGTGTACTTTACATCCATGTGTACACATGCTGAGGGCCTCTTCTGAGAGGGTGTGTGTTAAGCGGTAGAGCCATGACCAGGTCTTTCCTACTTTCATAAGACTTAAAGTTGGGTGGGACTCTCAAACCTGCCATCTGCCTATAGCTACCTTAAGCTGTTGCCAGGGTGACTCATGTCTTGGGAAAATTGTTAGGGTTGTTGACTTGTTACATTACTTATGAGCCATCCAACTTCATGGCCTTTGCTTATATACTTCCTGCAGCTCAGGTGGGTCCATCAACCTGGGGGTCAGACGTAGCGTTTAATCCTGGCTCTTTCTCCTTTGCCTGCAGGTGGTTGCCTTTATGAAGTCTCCGGTGGGTCAGTACCTGGACAGGCATCCTTTTCTGGCCCTCACTATGCTGGTGTTTGTTGCTGTGTCGGCCATTCCTGTTGGATTCTTCCTGCTCCTTGTGGTGCTTACCTCCCTGGCTGCTCTTGTGGGAGTCATTTTACTGGAAGGTATCCTGCTCATCTATTCAGCCCCTTGGAAAATGATTCATTTGGGAGCACAGTATTTATTTGGCACCTGCCATTGATATCAAAGTTTCCTCTTATTGAAAAAATCAGAATGACCAAGGCAGATTGTCAGAGTAGTTAAAAGATGGACTCTGGAGTCCACATTAGAATCCTACCTCCACAGGGGCGCCTGGGTGGCTCAGTCGGTTAAGTGTCCGACTTCAGCTCAGGTCATGATCTCGCGGTCCGTGAGTTCAAGCCCTGCGTCAGGCTCTGTGCTGACAGCTCAGAGCCTGGAGCCTGTTTCAGATTCTGTGTCTCTCTCTTTCTCTGACCCTCCCCTGGTCATGGTCTCTCTCTCTGTGTCTCTCTCTTTCTCTGACCCTCCCCTGGTCATGCTCTCTTTCTCTGTGTCTCAAAAATAAATAAACGTTAAAAAAAAATTTTTTTTCTAAAAAAAGAATCCTACTTCCACCAACACAATTTTGGACAAGTTATTTATCCTCTCTGAACCTCAAACTCCTCATATGTAGAATGGGGATGATATAATAACTGTCTCAAAGCATTATTGTAAGGATTGAAACTCATAGTTCCATAAAGTATTTAGCACAGCCCATGGCACCTAGTAGCTTCTACATGAATGGTAACAGTCTATTTCACAACTGGTTACTGAATATCCGTTGCATGCCAGGTACCTTGCTAGGTAGTAATGTTTCCTCTTCACCACCTTTCCTCCTGAAGTCACACTGCCAACTGTCAACTTCTCCTTTTGTTGCTAAGATAAAATTACTGAGAAGGCAGATCTGACCAGCTCAGTTTGCCTTTTCATATCAGATCACAAATCACAAAATACTGGCCAAAGAGGTGGTTGCCATTGGGTCAGGCAATCACCTCTGATTTATCCTACGACTTCCCAGGGTTAAGATCAAGCAGAGTTGTTTCCCTGCCTGGGGAACTGTGGATAAGGCAATTTATACTCAAAGGAGAAAGTGAGCATCATAGGCAGATGAGCAAAATACAGCCTGGCAGAGTAGCTGTTCACTAAATATTGATGGATAGAGAGACGGATGAATGAATGAGTGGAGGAATGAATGAGTACTGTAGCAAAAGTAAATTTAAGGAGGGGAAGAGAACCACTGCATTTTGGTGTATCATGCAAAGTTTAACAGAGGACAGGATTTACAGATCTGTAACAACTCTTGTTTCCTTTGGGGAAGTAAAGACTTTCTAAACAGGAGGAACAGCATATATAAAGCCTTTAGAACAGTAGTCTGGAACTTGAGTGTGTTTAAGTCTTACTTGTGTTTTTGAAGATACAGACTTCTAGGCTTCATCCAGAGATCGTTAGTAGTTCTGGAGTAGGGTCCAAAAATCTGAAATTTTACAAGCCTTCCTGATGCATCTGATTCTGATACAGTGGTTGTTGGCCACACTTGGAAAAACACTGATCCAGGATTTTGCAAATCTTTGTAAAAAGGCAGCACATCCATTTATATTGTCTGATTTCCTTCCTTTGCAAGGTCCGTCCCTGAAATTATATCACTGTAGCCATGAGGATGGAGTCCTGAGTTATTTGACCACTCCCAAGGCAAGGAAAAGGGTATTTGCCTTGCAGTGATGCCCACTCGGGTGGTTAGATTACCTCCTTTTTTTTTTAATCTTTTTTTAATGTTTTATTTATTTTTGAGAGAGAGAGAGAAAAAGCGAGCAAGCAGGTGAGGGGCAGAGAGAGAGGGAGACACAGAATCCAAAGCAGGCTCCAGGCTCTCAACTGTTAGCACAGAGCCCGACGAGGGGCTCAAACTCACAAACTGTGAGATCATGACCTGAGCCGAAGTCGGACACTAAACCGACTGAGCCACCCAGGTGCCCCTAGATTACTTTCTTTTAAAGTGATGCTGGAAACCTGGATCTTTATGGGAAATCTCACTTAAAAAGTCTGAGTTAACTGTCATAAGCACAGTGGCCTTGGGTCTGGTAGCTTTCAATCTGTTTTAGCTGAATGCTTCTCCTAACTATGCTTTCTTCTAGGACTGGTCATCTCTGTGGGTGGCCTCTCACTGCTTTGTGTCCTCTGTGGCTTGAGCTTTGTGTCACTCGTCATGTCAGGGACAATTATGGTGTCCTACGTGATGGTCTCCAGCCTTGTCAACTACTGGTTTTCTCCCAGGTAAATACATGTCAGTGCAATAATTTAATCTTTACCATTTGGGGGATTTTCACAAATAATACCTTAACCCTATTTGGTTAGTAAAATTGTGAGAGGCAGGTGTTCCTTATTCCATATACATCAGACATCACATGGGAATTTACGATGGCGTTTCAAACAACCACCACACACAATTACTCATTTTGTTGTCATGACAACTCTGAAGTAATTGTTACTGATTCCTTTTAAAAGATACCATTAAATTTACAAAAATTCAAATTAAGGGTTTTTGCGGAGGGCAACCGGAAATATCAGCATGCATGTACCTCAGGATGATGCAGGGGGCCACAAATCTGCTGTTGCCAAAGTCTGTCTTCATTCCCTTTGCTCTTCAGTGTGTGTGTGTGTGTGTGTGTGTGTGTGTGTGTGTGTGTGTGTGTGTATCTCACCATACTGAGTGTGTTATCTTGTGTTTGATTACATGGATCATGTTCCTACATTGTGGCTCCTAAATGCCAGCTACACTTCATCTGGGCCTTCACTGAAGGAACAGTGATGTATTTAAATGCTAGAGGGAAAACCAGCCATACTGAGATTAGTGTAAGACAGTATGTTTGTCTATAATGGACTGCCCTCCTAAGGGATTTTCAGAGATTTTTTTTTTAATGTTTTTTAAATTTATTTTGAGAGAGAGTGTGTGAGAGCACAGAAGAGGCAGAGAGGGAGAGAGAGAATCCCAAGCAGGCTCTGTACTGTGCAGGGCTTGATCCCACAACCATGAGATCATGACCTGAGCTGAAATCAAGAGTCAGACGCTTAACTGACTGAGCCACCCAGGAGCCCCTAGAGATGATTTTTTTTTTAATGCTTGATTTTTACCCATTCTCCTTGATGAATTTAGAATCTAAGTCCCAAGTGGGCTGTCCATTATGCTTCATTTAAGTTCTTGCTTAATTGATGACAGCAGCTACCCATCAAGCACTTGCTCTGTGCCTGGGACTCTGTTATGCGCTTTCCAGGCCTGAGTTCATATAATCCTCACAACCACCCTGTGAGGCAGGTACTAGCTCCAATCTATGACAACTAAATGAAGCCAAGTCCCAAAGCAAAGTGTGGCAGAAAAGGGACTTATACAAGTCCCTTAACTCTACAAGTTACTTAACTCTACAAGTCACTTAACTCTAAAGCTTCTTAACCAAGATTCCAAAGTGACTCCAAAACAGGAGTCAGCAAACAATGTCTGTAAGGGGCCAGATGATAATACTTTATTTTAGGCTTTGCAGACCATGTGGTCTCTATTGTAACTCCTCACCTGTGCTGTTGTAACACAGGTGGCTACATGCCTACAAGTGAGCATGGCTGTGTTCCAATAAAACTTTATTTACAAAAACAGGCAGCAGGCCAGATTTGGCCCAAGGGATTTGCCAACCCTTGCCCTAAAAGAACCTACATCCTGAATTTTATTTTTCTATAGACTAGCCCTTGAACTTCTTACCAAAGTGTTATCCTCTTGTTACTCATGTTGGAAAATAAAATGTGAAGTAGGTATAATTTAAAATACCTCAGGGGTGGTTGTCATAGGCTTGCCTGGTTGATGTCCCTGGAGTTACATTCAGCTTCTCTAAATTGTTTTGATGACTATCAGTCTCAAAGGAGATAAAAGGAAAAATATTAGCCAAAATGTGGCTTATTAAAGCTAATGTTTCTGAGCCAAAATTTCTCCCCACCTCTGAACCCTGCTCTGCTATACCGCAGGAAGTAGCAAAACCTGAATACCACCTACTTGTCAACAAAGAGAGTAAAAAGATATCCAAGAGGGACGCCTGGGTGGCTCAGTCAGTTGAGCATCCAACTTCGGCCCAGGTCATGATCTCAGCATTGTGGGTTCGAGCCCCATGTCAGGCTCTGTGCTGACAGCTCGGAGCCTGGAGCTTGCTTTGGATTCTGTGCCCCCCTCTCTCTACTCCTCCTCTGCTCGCACTCTGTCTCTCTCTCTCAAAAACAAACAAACAAAAAAAGATACCCAAGATTTCTCCTTTATCTCCTTACAGCCCTCTTCTCTTCCCAACCAAGACCCCTGGACTGATTGTTTTCATTAGGGCAGTGGTTCTCAAGCTTTTTACCTTCTTAAAATGACCCATTTTACCTTCTTAAAACTACTGAATCTCCCCAAGTTTTTGTTCATGTGGTTTAAATGTACCAATAATTACTGTAGTAGAAATTAACAAATTCAAAAAATATTTATTCCTTTAAAAAGAGCAGTTTTACCAGTTGATGTAAATAACATCTTTATAAGTAACATTTTCCCATTACAAAATGAAATGAGTAAGTGGCATTGTTTCACATGTTACAAAGATCTTTAAGGTCTCCTTAATAGAGGTCAGCTGGGTTTTGCAGACCCCGCCTCACAAATGTGTGACTGGCAAAGAGGAAAAGCTTTTTCAGATGACTGTGGATGTTCTTTGATAGTACACCAAAACTCAATACGTGGTAGTTTCTCAAAGGTTAACTGAAATGTGACTTTTTGTAGTTCATTATATTAAAATCTACTGGTCTGTCTTACACTTTTATTAGATCTTCTATGGTGTGTGTTTTTTAACTTCATGCATTGCTCATTTGGAGAATATTGGTTCATGGAGTCATGCAGATGTTCCACATATACTGTGAAAACTCCACTGTTGGGGCACTTGAGTGGCTCAGTCAGTCAAGCTTCTGATTTAGGCTCAGATCATGATCTCGCGGTTTGTGAGTTCAAGCCCCGCATCGAGCTCTCTGCTGTCAGCACAGAGCCCCCTTTGGATCCTCTGTTTCCCTTTCTTTCTCCCTCTTCCCCACTTATGCTTTCTCTCTCTTTCTCAAAAATAAGCTTAAAAAAAAAACACTCCACTGTTCCTTTGTGGAGAATGAGAGCAACAAATGCATTGAGCATATTATATTACTATGAAAATAGTTGTCACCTGAAAACCCTTGCACTAGTGAATTCTTAAACTCGAGAAACTCTTACTGAATGTTCCAAAGCATAGGGGGAAGAAAGAGGAAATGTTCACTTTATTCCATGATGCAAATGGGATCTTGACCTTAAAAGATAATATGCAGCTAAAATTTTTGAAAAAGAAAAAAGGGAATAAAACTGTAAGATGTCCTTAAGAAAATGGATTAACTGCATGGTGTCATCTACATACCAGCCACCTTATGTCTTCTGGTGTTGCCATGCTTAGCCCATTGGTTTGTGACCTCATGGCCACAAGAAAGCTGTTGTGGCTCTGGCTACACCAAGAACATTCAAGGCAGGATGAAGGGAGAAAAAAAAAAATGAGACCTCCCTCACCACTTGAGTCTGACCATTTTTATCAAGTAAGTGCAGTTTTTCCTAGGACCTCTCCCCATCCTGTCCAAGCTGACTTCCTTGGCTAGAATTGTGTCAGTTGGCTGTTCTAAGCTGGCAAGGAGGCTGTGAGATGGAGTGCTGTTTTCTCAGCTGTGTTGGTCAGCCAAACTCTGGTGTATGCCACAGTTTTCCGCACTGGGGTGTCCATGTTGGCAAAGGTATTTGAAATTCAAAGATAACCTATAGATGCACTTAATATCGATAATGCTATCTCCACTCTCACTCCCCTCAGAAACTTGCCATCACAGGGGCTAAAAAAGACCTATTTGTCTTCCTTTTTGCCCCCTACCTCTCTTCTGTTGAAGATGTCAAGAAACAGCGGATTAATTGGAATCAGAAGATATGGGTCTCAATCCCAGCTCTGCCATTTTTTAGCTGTGTGATCTTGAACAAGCTGCTTAACTTCTCTGTTCTCAGTTTTCTTTCACTGGTAAAATAGGGCTACTCCAACAATCACTGGATTATTGCGAGAATGTGAACAATACACTGAGAAAATGCAGTGTCCAAATTAGAATAGGGGGAAGGGCCATAATCCCTACCCCTAACTCAGTCATTTTAACCTCTTGTACCCTCAATTTCCATCTGTAAATGGTAAAGCCTCAAATCTGGTGTTTCAAGAAGTAGCTAAAAACAAACCAACAAAGAAAGTCCTGTATTCAGTTTTGTGCATGCTCAGCATTAAAGCTCTTTAAAGAGGCCCTATGCCTGGGTAGCTCAGTTGGTTAAGCCTCTGACTTTGGCTCAGGTCATGATCCCATGGGTCATAGGTTCAAGCCCCACATCGGGCTCTGTGCTGACAGCTCAGAGCCTGGAGCCTGCTTCAGATTCTGTGCCTCTCTCTCTCTCTGCCCCTCCCCCACCCACGTTCTCTCTCTCTCTCTCTCTCTCTCTCTCTCTCTCTCTCTTTCTTTTTCTCTGTGTCTCTCACAAAAATAAATAAGCATTAAAAAACAGATAAACATGGGGTGGCAAGTGGTTTAGTCAGTTAAGCATCCAACTTCGGCTCAGGTCATGATCTCACTGTTTCTGAGTTTGAGTCCCGCATCGGGCTCTGTGCTGACAGCTCAGAGCCTGGAACTTGCTTCAGATTTTCTGTCTCCCTCTGTCTCTGCCCCTCCCCCACTCATGTTCTATCTCTCTCTTCCTTTCTCAAAAATAAATAAGCATTAAAAAATAAATAAACATGGGGTGGCTGAGTGGTTTAGTCGGTTAAAGCATCCAATTTCAGCTCAGGTCATGATCTCACTGTTGGTGAGTTTTAGTCCCGCGTCGGGCTCTGTGCTGACAGCTCAGAGCCTGGAGCCTGCTTCACATTCTGTGTGTGTCTCTCTCTGCCCCTGCCCTACTCATGCTCTGTCTCTCTCTCTCAAAAATAAACATTTTAAAAAATAAAAAATAAATAAAGAGGCCGTAGGGCTAACCATTTCCTCTTGTTACCAAACAGACTGTTAACACAACAAAACTCCGGTGGCGACTGTCAGCTTGCTATGAAGTCCGCAGACTTAGAGGGGCTCTACCAGGAATGATCGGCTGAGCGGAGCCAGAGCTTTTTGCAAGCACTTCTCGAAGTCTGTGGATCATACTCAACCCTTAGGATTGACTCAGATGGGGGCTGGGTGGTCAAACACTCCCTGTATGTGTCCTCTAGCCTTTTCTCTTATTTGTAGGATCCTGCCGGGGCAACTTGAGGCCACTTGGTGATCAGTTGCTCTTGAGTCCCTGTGGTTCTGTTGGCTGACCCACCCTCACGTGAGAATTAGCTAAAAATTGCAGTGGCTTGGCAGCTCCTCCCACCTTTCACTCCTCTCCAGTGTGTGGTCTTGACTTTGGCCCCACTCCTTACAGCCAGCAGCTTGACCCCAAAGACTCCAATCTTGTGTCCAAGGGCCCAACTGGGGCAACTATGGTTTCTTTTTTTTTCTTCTATCTTCCTTCCCTCCCTCCCCTTCCTTCCTTGCTTCCTTTCTTTTTTTCTTTGTTTCTGAAATGAGGAAGCTGTTTATTTCTTCACTTCCTTGAAACGAGGTGGCAAAAGTGATCGAAAACAGAACAAATTCTTCTGCCTTATTAGCTTTGTATCAGAAAAACTAGCAAAATTTGCTAATTATGGCCTCTCAGACAAAGCTGGAAAATACAGTCCAAAGTTAACTTTATGGCCAAGGGCACTTTTGAAAAAGTCTAAAGGCTTAGTTCCCATGTTGAGTACTGTTAAGTGCTGTTACTTTCTAAAATACTTGCACTTGACACTTTTGTATTGTTTTCAGGAACTTGTTAAGCCACATCTGTAAAAAGTCCTATGGAATGCTAAAGGATTACACAAACTTTTAAAATCCCATGGGATTTCTACTTCAGTGGTCTGCTGTGGCATTTTATTAAATATTTATCTAGATGAGCTTCTTAACTCTTTATTTCACCCCCAAGACATCATACCTGCTTATTCCTTCTCTGTTGATTTCATGTCAGATCCCAGGTAATAGGGTTTGTGATAGACACTCCACCCAAAGTGGCTTTAAAAAGTGGGGCGCAGAAGGGGGAAGTTCATTTCACTCAACTAAAAAGCCAGGGGTTAGATTTTCAGGTACTGCCGGATCCAGTGGTGCTTTGAGGCATCTCTCTCAGCCCTCAGCCCTACTTTCCTCCGTGTGAGCTCCTTTTCCAGTCAGGCCCTCCTTACCTGGGGTCCCAGCAACTCTGGCTTTACATCAACCCTACAGTCAGCACTCTGCACTGGTAAGAAAGCTGCTCTTTTCCAACAGTACAAGCAGATGTTCCGGGCTTGGCTCTGATTGGACAGACTTGGGTCATGTGAGCAACCCTGAACCAATCACAGTGGCCAGGAGGTTAGACTCTGCTGATAGGGCAGGGCTGGGACATAGGTTCATGGGAACCAGGGATGGTTTAGGTCAGGTCCACTGGTTTCACATAGGATGGTGTGCATACTCCCAAAGGAATATGAGAAGGAGAGGAAATATTTACTGGGCAAACTAAAATAATAAGCCTGCTACTTGTGATAGGGCATAAAGGCCTTCATCTGGAAACTTCTGAATCCCTTGACTGTCATGCCTGTCCCTAAAGGTGGTTTTACCTCTACTTGAGAACAAGAGGTGCCCTTTCTTGCCAGTATTAACAGTTGGTATTTATTAAATGTTTCTTTTCTTCATGCAAGGGTCTGCTATTTTCTGTCGATGGTATCTACCTAGCTGGGTTCTGAGGCTTCAGTAATGGAAAAATGAAAAGGTCCCCAGTCCTGAAGTTCACTTTCTAACACAGGAGTTGTTTAACAAGTGTATTAAATGTTGCTGTATAGCAGTTTACCACAAACTATAGACTTAAAAGAGCATATGTTAACTCACATTTTCAGTGTGTTAGGAGTCCTGGCTCAGCTGGGTCCTTTGAAAGACTACAAACACAGTGTTGCCAGGGCTAGGTTCTCATTTGAGGCTCACCTGGGGAAGGATCCACATCCAAGCCCACATGGTCACTGGCAACATCCAGTTCCCTGCAGTCTATATGGAACTTCACACCTGGCAGCTTGCTTCTTCAAAGCCACTGAGAGAGAGAGTCTCTTAGCAAGGCAGACATTACATTCTTATGTAGCATAATCACGTACATCTTGTCACTTTCACTGTATTCTGTGGGTTAGAAGCAATCACAGGTCCCAACCACACTTGAAAGGATGGGATTGCACAAAGGCATGTGTACCACAGGTTGGGATCATGGGCTCTACCTTAGAGTCTACCTGCTACAACAAGCAGACAAAGTATTAGATTGTGACAAGCATATCAATGAAAGTAAAGGGTGATAAATAACTGTGGGAGGCCAGTTTAGTCACAGCAAGCAGGGATTTCTTCTCTGAACCAAAGGATGAGAAGTTACTGCCATGCCATGAGCTGGGGCTGCGTGTTCCCAGCAGAAGGCACAGGGACACAAAGGCCCAGAGACTGGAAAAATCGAAATGTCAGTGTGGCTGGGCCTGGTAAGCAAAGGGTAGATGAAAGAGATAGGAGTCCGTCGTGCACTGGTCCATATAGTAAGAAATTTACACCAATGAGTAAAGGGAAGACCATAAAGTTTAGAGGGACATAGACTTGGATGTTAAAAGATCACTCTATAGGCAGTGGGTTGGGAGCTGAAAGCCATTTAGGTCTCCAGAGGCCCAGAGCAGAGGATGGTTGTGGCACCACACTGGGATGGAGGTAATGGAGACCTCCCTCCCTTGGAGAGCCGGCAGCATCTGGTGGTTGATTGCATGTGGATGATGAAGGAAAGGGGGACATAAATTTTTTTAACTTGAGCCGGTGGGTAGACAGAGACACTATTTTTCTGAGGTGGGGACTGGGTGAATATTCAAAATCTGCTTTGCTTATATTAAGTCAGATACGCCTTTAACACCAATAGGATTAATCAAGTAGACTGTTGGCTTAGAGTGTAAGTCTGGGCTGAGGATATAATGTTTGGGAGTATTTTCAGTGCTGAGAGCTTTACACAGACATCTTGTGAGATGGTCTCCTAGGAGTAGCCAAGAGATCATTTTAAAACACATTTCCGATTATATAAACATCCTTACTTCAAACTCTGCAAGTACAAGGTGCTTTCCCACTACACTTGAGTGAGACCCATCACAAGCTGCCCCTGCTGGCTTCTCATTTTTTGTATGCATCAGCCTCTGGAGTTTAGAAATGAAACTAAGGTTTAGAGCAGAACTGACTCACTAATTCTGCCAAGAAATGTGGCATCTAATCATAGCTTTGCAATTCAGGCTCCCCATAATATTGCCTGGAGCCCAAGGCCTTTGCCAATCAAACAAAGTAAAATAACGTACGGAACCTAGCAGAGTGCCTGCCATAGAACGGGCCCATAAGGCACAGTTGTCAAAATGCACAGTGCACCATCATTTAAAACAGTGCAACAGGAACGTGTAAGAGGCCTATTGTTAGCCAAGCTTGGAGGAATGTTAGGACTCACCCATTATTCAAAAGGTGCCTGCTTTTTAGATATAGTTCAATGTGCGGCTCATTTGGAAAGGTAATTTATCCTCAGAGCATGAAAGCTGTGACTTTATACAGCCAGAATGTTAATTTATCAGTATGTCTCTGTTTTTGCCACATGTTGGGTGCGATCTTGAAACCTCTACAAATCAATACACGTTTTCAGTCCATCCTCACTACCACCCATTTTAGAGATGAAGAAGCCAAAAGACTGGTTAAACTGTTTTAAGGGCACACAGAAACAAGTGGGATTCAAGCCCAGTCTGCCTGACTACAAAACCCACCTGTGTAACCCATGTACTGTTCAATATCCACTCCTCCAACCTGCCTTTGAGGCCTTCTGAAATTTGGACCCATGCCCTAATAGATGCCGTCTGCGACCGTACCCACATCCTTTGCTGCCGTGTCACTGAACTCCAGAGATCGCCGGTTTCATGAAACGGAATGTGAGCGATTGGCTTCCCCTAAAATTGTCCCCATTGAAGTAAACATTTCAACTCCCACTTGTGTGCAGCTTCTGCAGTCTGCTCCGTGTAGAACAGGGTGTCATAGGTAAGTGATGAATCCCTGAATTCTACTCCTGCAACCAATATTGCACTGTATGTTAACTAACTAGAATTTAAATAGAAGTTGGAAAAGAGAGAAAAAAAAGGGAGATTGAGCCCAGAAGTTGCAGCATTTTGGCAAAGGCAGATCAGGTGTGAGTTGTCGCAAGAAGGTTGAGAATGACTAACGGTACTTTCATGAGGTTCTGCTGTGCTTCCTTGAGCAGGAGAGAAAAGGTGGAGCTAGAGAGAGGACGTAGAATTTGAGAGTAACTGTACCTATGCCATGGCATCCCCCAGAACCCCTGTGCGTGCATGCATACACATATCCTGAGTGATTAAATTATGCGTGCACGCACATGCGTGCACACACACACACACACACACACTCTGAGTGATTGGTAAGAGCTGTGACAATTACAAATTATTAAAGTGCTTTCTTTGCCTTCCTGAAGGAAAGGAAGGGGGTAGGGATTACATACAAATTTGGTGTGCCTCTTGGGTGTGTCGTCAGGGTGGATATTATCCATCATGTGTGTGGCAGAAAAGTTGAAAATCAATGGTGTTGGGCATCCCCTTTCCAAACCTCCCTTTTTGAAACATTTCCACCTTCCACAGTCCAGCTTAAATTGAAGTCATGTCTTGCTGTGTGCACTGTCTTTATATGTACAGCCCTTGTGGACCAGGCATGGTGAGCAAGTGACAACCTCTCTGTGTGTTGACTTCCTCAGTCTGTAGTGAGAATGCTACCCACCCAGAATCTTTAGGAGGTGGAGGCAAGTGATCTCTAGATTGTAAAAGTGCTACAACACAGTGGAACAATTATACCCTTCCTCAATGAAATTGTCTCTTGCATTTGTCCTTCCTCCCACCCTGCTTACGTGCCTCCTCTCCACCAGTGCTCTGGGGATGGAAACAAAGTCTGTCTATTCACTTTGGGTAGCCTATAACCTTATACATAGAAGCCCCTGAACAACATTTTCCATTGACTAGAAAGATCAAGAAGTCTGGATCTATAGCCTGTTCCCGTCTGGCAGCATCTGGAGGCATTTTTGATTGTCATGACTGTGTGTGTGTTTGGAAGAGGGGGTGAGGCTGGCATCTGGTGGGTTGAGGCCAGGGATGCTGCTAACCATCCTACAGTGCATATGACACCTCCTTACAAAAAGATTATCTGGGCCCAAATGTTGGTGCCAAGGTTGAGAAATCTTGATGTAGACAAATAATGAGAATTAAGAGCATTAGGCCAAGCAAGGCACAGCTCGTCTGGGATCAGAGGCTGGAGTTGGCCAGGTCTGTGCTAGAGCAGCCAGTTACAGTAATGGCATCAGGAAAACACCTTCATGTTTGTGAAACAAACATTTCAGGTTTTCAAAGACCTTTCACATCGATTACTAT